CCAAAAAACATCAGATTGGACACCTCGCAGTGGACGAAACCCTAACCTTGACCGCAACAATGACTACTTCAGGGAAAGAATGAACAATGAAATAATCAGCAACACACTCCACCACAACAACCTCTCTCTACCAGAGAAAAAGGCCATAGAATCTCTAAGATCTAACCACCAAATCAGACAGCTCTCTGACACCACCTACTACAAAGAACTACAAGAAGATCCTACTCCCCTTTTCACCAAAAAACTCAACGATACCATCAAATCATTTCCACCAAGATTACAAGAAAAACTACAGACCTTGATCCCCCCGCTACCTAACCCAGGGACTTTTTACATGCTCCCTAAAATCCACAAACAAGGGAACCCTGGCAGACCTATCATATCCAACCATGGGACCCTAACTGAGGAAATATCAGGTTTTGTTGAATCCATCCTAAAACCGCTTGTCACCCACAGAGCAAGTTTTGTCCAAGACACCACAGACTTGCTACGGAAACTTAAAAACATAGACCACTTTCCCAGCAACACACTCCTAGCCACCATGGATGTTACCAGCCTATACACCAACATCCCACACCAGGATGGCATCCATGCCTGCCTTACATATCTACAGGAACAAGATTACAACCCAGAATACAGACCCAAAGATATCACTGAGCTTATACACTTCATCCTCACACACAACAATTTCACTTTTAATAATCAACACTTCCTCCAGATGATGGGAACAGCTATGGGCACTAAAATGGCCCCACAGTATGCCAACCTTTTTACCTTTTTTTTTTTTTTACACACCAAAAAAGCAGTGATATACAGCCAAGCCCTCAGATACCACCGCATCTGTACTGAAGAGAACACCCGGGATTGCCACCTCACCAATCTTAAAAAGGCTTTCACCCAGCAAGGACACTCCTCCAGAGAGATAGATCGCACGTTTGAAAGAGCCACCTGGATACCACGTGAAGAACTGCTGCAGTACAGAAGAAAAACACCCACAAATCGCACACCGCTGGTTATGACCTATCACCCCTCCCTTGAACCTGTATGGAAAATCCTCAAAAAATTGCAACCCATATTAGAAAAAGACCCTATTCTTAAAAAGATCTTCCCAGAGCCACCCATCCTAGCCTTCAGACAAGCACCGAACCTCGCCAACCTCATCACCAGAAGCAAACTTCCTCAACCCCAGAACACACCAAAAGGATCCAGACCGTGCCATGACAAGAAATGCAAAACCTGTCCCCACATCTCCACCACCCCCACTATTACTACACCCCACAACAGAGCCATCAGCATCCCAGGATCTTACAGCTGCACCTCCAGGAATGTAGTATACCTCAACCAATGCACCAAATGCCCTGATGGAAGATATGTAGGAGAGACCAGACAACAACTGCGCACCAGAATGAACGCACACCGGAAATCCATCAAAGACAGAAACACCCAATTACCAGTGGGGGCACATTTTTCACAGGAGGGCCACTCTCTCTCCAATCTCTCAGTCCTGATCCTCAAGGGAAATTTACACAACATATCCCAGAGACGAGCCTATGAGCTCCATTTCATCAACCTGCTGGATACTAGAGATCAGGGACTAAACATAGACATTGGATTTTTGATACATTATAATCTGCCTGGCAACTGACTGCCCAGCCCAGCCCAGCCCAGCCCCTGGCTTGTTTACTTTTCATTCCATCCAGGAAGAGCGCACACCAACTGCTGCAGCTTCCTGAGCCTGACAAAGGGTTTTTGAACCCGAAAGCTTGCTTAATAACTATTCTCCAACCATTTGGGTTGGTCTAATAAAAGATATCAAATTCACCCAAGGAACCTTGTCTACATAGACAGTATAACATAACCTATGCAGTGATAACAATAACATAAATGGATACAGCATAATATGAGCGTTCCAACGAGATCACACATACTGTATCAGAAAAATAAATCAGGGGAAAACATTCATGACATCCTGCAAACCCCCAAAACATAAGAGGGTCCATGACATGGACCTGGCGGACTTTTAAAGTGCTGCTGCTTATAAAAGTAATGTTTGCTACATGTTAGTAACAGATTGTAATTGGGTATAATCGTTAGTGCAGACTCTACTAGCAGAATTGGAAAGACAGTTTTTTCAGATTATCATTAAAATATCAACATTTGACTTTTTAAATGCTTCTGCAGCATCATCCAGTTTTATGATACAAATTGTATAGTTCAGGAAAATGTTTTCTCTGCATAAAATGCTTCTATTTTGTTTATAATTAACATGATTCCTATTGATTTTTGGATTCATTATTAATTTGATATACGATTGAAAAAATGTTGGCATGCTGGTCACAGGAGGACACAACTGGATAATATTTAGACCTTGTGTCTTTCTCCATCCTCAAATCATTTTATGAACATTAAATAGTGAAGGATGATGCTCCATTTTGATTATCTGTTGGCAAGTGCATCTTGAACTGTGAATAGCCTCCTTTTCTTTTCAAGTGAAATGCTTCTCTTAAAAAGTGACATGATAGGGAACTGAATCAAAATCGTATCCTTGAGACAAACATAACAGAGAAAATTGTGTCGTATATCCAGTAGGGACATACCAGTTTGTTACATAGACACAGTACTTAAGTATACAGAGTAATGCCACACTTGCCAAGCAAGCATCTAAACACCCCCAGTCAATTAGTCCCCAGACAAATCACCTTGCAGTAGATACCAGTGTTTGGGCATGGAGCAAGACTGCAACAATGAAGTCCAGTCTTCACTACATTTTCTGGAGTTCAACCTTGTAGGCATTCTATTGGTTGGATCTCCTCTGCTGAATCTAAGATGCTCCTTTAGACCATTGTAGCCTGCTCCTTGTGCTAATCCCAGGTTCAGGTAAATTAAGGCCTACTTCATTCCACAAGTGGGTGCTCTTGCCTTAGCTTCTGCATGTCTCCACTTTCCAGTCCAACTTTAACCCCACTGCTGAACTACTCGATCAGTGAGGGATTGGATTTTCTCTCCATTTTATATTCAGTCAGGACTTTGGGGCCAGTTTCCTTACCTGTCTACCCCTTAATCTGTCAACAATCATAAGGTTAAGATTGGCCTTTCCTCATGGTTGCAGTTTGCGTAGGAGCTGGAGCTCTTCACAAGTTTCCACATATGGCTCCACCCAAAAGCCTCATCCTTCAACTAGAGGATTGTTCTGTATGTGTGAGAAGTTCATTTTCTTTGCCAGGCTCACCCTTGGCCTCTTTTGAGTCTTTTAGAAAAGATGCCACTTAATGTGAACTGTCCAGGGGCCAGTGCTGGCGGGGCCCAGAGCAGGGTGGCAGGAGCGCATGGTGTGGGCTGGCAGGGGTCTATGGAGCCAGGCTGCACTGCACCAGCAGGGAGGGAGGGGAGCTGGCTCGGTTTCATAGAGCCCCAGCCAGCTGGGACCCTGTGCTCCTGCTGTCTACTCTGGGCCCTGCCGGTGCTGGCCCCAGGGCACTGGCATGGGTCCTGTGCTCCCGCCCAGCTGCCACGTACTCACTCACTCCCAGCCCCACCACACAGGCAGAGATGACCGCAAGCTCCCACTGCACAGCCCCAACCCTGCCTAGGGAATACTGCAAGCTGCCCCAGCAAAAACTGCTCGGTGGTGGGGAGGGTGCTTTCATCCGCCCCAGCAGCAGTTTGTGCCCCGCTGTCGCTCAGCCTCATGGCCGAGCCTGGAGCCAGCACAGGAGCAAGGCTGGCAGTGGCAGTGAGGAACAAACTGCAGTTGAGCTCAGGGGAAAAGCAGCCCCTCCCACTGCTGGCACTCTCTGTGGCATGTACTTGGAGCCCATGCAGGGCTGCGTGTGCCTGCTCTCCATTGCCACTGCTGCCCCATGGGTGGCAGGGATGTGGCAGAGAGGCAGGACGGCCCTGCATGGGTTCTGGGCAGCTGCTGCAGGGAGTGCTGGTGGCAGGAGGGGGAGTGGCTGCTTTCCCCCTGCGCCGAACAGCAGCTTGTTCCCTGTCGCTGCTGTTTGCCTGGACGGGCAAGTCCAGGGCATGTGGGGTCAGGGCTGCTCGCAGTCAGGGGCTGCCCAAGCTGGGCAGGACCCTCCACCCCTATCCGCAGCTGGGAGCAGGTGGGTATGGGCAGGGAAATGCCCGGGGCGGAGGACGGGGAGGCAGCTCTGCTGCTTGCTCCTAGGAAAGGCAACAGAGCCCCTTCTTCTCAATTAGCCTCAACTGGATCCCCCTGGGCCACTGCCTCTGCAGCCCACTCCCCTGCAGGGTCCCCCGGTGCCCCAATCCCATCCATTCTCACAACTTCACCCTCTCATAAAAATTTAATTTAAACATGTAGATTAAATTTAAATCTGTAAGTTATACAGTTTTTAGGTCTGCAGTATAAAAAGGTTGGGCACCCTGCCATAGACCTCTGCCAGGCCACACCCCATGCTCCTACCACCCCGCTCTGGGCCCCACAGGCCCCGCGCTCCTGCATACGCACTCACTTCCACACACCCGCCTCCCCTGCCACCGGTTTCCCCACTTTCTACCCACCCACTGGCTGCTCTGCAGCCCTTGGCTCCCATACCCACAATAACATACCTACCCACACCCACACACCCCCATACTCACTGACACCCATGCACACCCCATACAGTATACAAGTAAGACTGCATTTTGACCTTTTATGCAATCATTTCTACATATACAGCACAAATGCACAAATCGGATCAAAAATACATTTTTTAAATCAAATTAAAATGTAGTATTATGGGTGTTTGATTTTTAGTATTTAATTTTGTTTGTTTTTTTCCCTCTAAGATGGCAAATACTCTTTGCCAAAGGAGTACATCCAAGGGCAAGGGGAGGGACTTCTGGTGGCAAAGGTCAGCGGTTAAGGGGGTGGGTTCAGGTACCAAGATGGCAACTAGGGGGCGGGACACCTGTCAAAGGGCAGGGCTACCCATGTGGCCCTCAACAGCTTGTCAAAACTTGGTAAGTGGCCCTCCGCCTGAAATAATTGCCTGCCCCTGGCTTAGACCTTTTGCTTCCCTTCTTCTTAGGTCTCATATTTTTATCTTATAAAGATACCCTGTTATTGTGTGGATCACTTCACTTCAGTACAATATTTAAAAATAAAACCAAATCCAATCTCCACCTGCATTTATCACTTCAGAACTACATTTTTATGCAAACATAGAAATCAAAATATATTAATTTTTGTTTTTTCGGAAACCATTCTTGCATCACTGTAGGTGCTAGTCACTACTGCAAGTTTGCACATGGGCCAGCTGTGATGTACTTGTCAATACCACCCTTACTTGAGTAATCGGTTTTAATAAAAAATAGAGATGATATAGATATTATAAGAATTATATTACAAATTCTGTTACATTTGCATGTGCTGAATTTGCTAAGTTAGCCAAAGTGGTGAACACATTCCATTACTAATTACTAGAATTGATACTAGTAGAAGTAGATTTATGTCCTTAGAATGGAAAAAAAAAAAGTTTATTTGGTGGCAACTTTGGTATAAGGTGTTGATGGAAAATGTGATAATTTTGATTCTGGGAGTAATATGACTTTCCAATAGAGCTGATTAAGAGAAGTATCAGCTACTGGAATCTTTGTGCATGTTTGCAGGTCAAATTCATACTCATTCATATGATATTCTGCCACACTGTAGATTATAATGTCTTGGCAATTGCGTAGGAAGTAGTAGGTTCAGGAATTATATCACAATGATAGCTAGCTGGCATTTCCAGTACTAGAATACTATTTTTAGGATTGCCACCACAGAGAGAAGGAATTCCAAGGAATATGGATTGGTGGAGGGTAATATATAGCTCCTTAAAAGGTTGGAAAAAAGGGTTATCAAATTATCCCTGTTGTTTATGACTTTTTAAACACAAAATGCATGGCCCTTTGTTGTAAACTATATATGCTATAGGGGGAACTTCTCATTTTATGAATCCCTAGTTTGGAAATGTATTAAACCAAACTTCTGATGAAGCTAAATATTAAACTAGCATACAGTAGTACTGTACTATACAACACAATTGAACTTGGGAGCCAGTTTGAGGATCTTACCTTTCTATTTTGGGTATGCAGATTTTGACCCGTTAAGACTTTGGCGACATTGCCAGCAACCTTGCTCCAACTTTGCTCTTTTGTGCAAAAGCTGAGCTGAAAGCTGTACTTTATCTTGACAGATTAACTATATTGCCTATTGCTATATTTTCTCACATACATTGCAAACCTTTTCCCTTAAAATTTGACCCCCCAAAATTGGGTTGTATGTATGAAGTGGAGAAGCTGGTTTTTCTGCCAGAGATAGGAGCACCCTGCTTTGATTCTTGCTGCACAGTTAAGTAGCTATGACCTTACTATTCAGGCAGCTAAAGCAATCAGTTGACTTAACAGCAGATTGTTCTTCACTCCATAGGTGTTCATGATCATCTCCCCTTCTTAAAGATTTTGAAGTTCCAGTAATCAAGCTAATCTTTCTTAGGGCAATTTTGCCTGGATGCTCCTTGTCTCTCTCCTCCTGTTTCAGTGTCTTGGAGACTCTCTAGCTCGTTTCAAAATCATAGATCTGCCAGTGTAGCCAGTCTTTTAGCAGCAGCCAGGGTTTTAGCTTTTAGTTAAGCAGGAAAGGGAGGGTGAGTCAGCAAAAGATTAAGCTCTATCCCTACTCCATTTATCCATAACTTTGGAAAAATATTTTTTTTCTTCATTCTGCCTTCCAAAACAGTGCATTTTACATTCCAGAGTGTGAGAAAATACGGCACTAACCATTGGAGCTAAATGTGGGGACAACTTTTTTTGTCAGAATATTTTCCTTTTTCAGGTGCTAATGTTAAAATTGTTACAGATAATTTTCTTTACAAAAGGTATATATGGTTATGCAAGGTCAGTTGGGCAAAAGGTCTAGTTTACTTTAAAAATTAGCCCAATTTTGGGGCACCTGAGCAAGTTTTATCATGATTATTTTGATGATTGAGGTTGGTCTCTCTCAGATTCTGAAGAATACTCTACCAAATAACTAATTTCAAACCTTGGTTAAGAAAGAGTTACCTGAGGTGGTTCTAGTTTTTATAGTTTAATAACTTGTTCTAAAGAAGCATGATAAAAGATTAGAAGGTTAAATTCAACCAATTGTTAATCTATCAGTTAATAAATTGTAAACACTATCTCAGCACAAAAAGATGAAAAATTGTCAGTTTTTTACCACTTTAAGCAGGTGAAAAGGACATTTATATTGGTAGACATTTTATCTTATTCAAGACAGACATTCTACACTGACAGCAATATCTCTTATAACAGCTTCCAGCATACCAGATCTCGATCTAAAAAGCTTAAAACTCCAGAGGACGAGAGTGTATCAGCTATGGTTGTTGGTGCAGAAATCATACCCACTGAAGCAGCTACAGATGGCTTCAAGGTCAATGAAAAGCCAGCAGAAAAAGTCAGGCTGGAAAACACAGAAGTGCCTTCTGGGGAAGAGGAAAACATTAGTAGAATGCAGCTGGATCAACATTTATTGGATAATATTGAGGTCTCAGGTGAGATAAGGACTGATTATATTTCACTTGTAAGTTGTAGGCTGTTGATATTGGGTTGCCTTAAATCTATGGATGATAAAACAAACATTGTATTGCTCCAAGTGGCATAACTAAACATGCCTATTCAGAAAGTTATGCAGGGAAGTCATGTAAGCTGCAGCATTGTATCAGATAGGTAGATGATTAGAATGAGAGATTATTTCAGTTTCAGATACTGAGTCAAAAGTAAGACATTCAGAATTATTTTTATAAAAACTATTTTTCTAAAAGAAGGACAAACACCCCTAAATATTTTTAATGACTTGCAGCCCAACCTCCTGCAAGTCATGCTGCCAGTGCTGCTCACAGGGGGTGAGGCTGTGCCAGCCGAGCCCGTCCCTGTCCCCATCCCCTGCGAGCAGTGCCAGGCTCGTAGGGGATGGGGCTGCACCAGCTGAGTGCCAAGCCTGGCCCTGTCTGCTTTGAGCGGCACTGCTGAACGCCTAGTCCAGTGCCACTTGCAGGAGGTGGGGCTGGGTTCACTGCTTGGCTGGTGTAGTCTCATCTCCTGCAAGCGGCACAAGGGCTCAGTGTTCAGCTGGTGTGACCCCATCCCCTGTGAGTGGCGCTGGTATGTCCCAGGCAGCATCTTTCACAGGGGATGGGGCCACGCCGGCTGAGCACCAAGCCCATCCCTGCCCCTTGTGAGCAGTGCTGGGCTTGTCGCTTGCTGCCTGGGCCAGAGCCGAGCCCACACTGCTCACGGGATGGGGATCGGCTTGGTGCTTGGCTGGTGCAGCCCCATCCCCTGCGAACAATTCTGTCTGGGCGGGGGATGGGGCTGCACCAGCCGGGCACTGAGCTCAGCACCCCTTTTAGGGGATGGTTGTATAACATAAGTCAAGGTTGAATTTTAAGAGTTAAAAATTGGACTTCAGATGTCAACTTGTACACTGTGAAATATGGTACTTTTTATATAACATTCTGTAGATTACATATAAATTATTTTGAGCTGGTGTGGCAGAAAGATTTTTATTACTGTCCCTTTAGGATAAGCTCTGCAACCCATCTTGGGCTTCATTCCATGGAAATGACACCAACCAAACTATTTTAATATTCTTTGTGTAGTGCGCATGAAATTAACTTTCAGCAACACTGAAGTCCAAAATTACTCACTCCAATTGTTCAATTTTTTTGAGTCAGTGGTGCTGTTTTCCTAATATTCTTAATATTTCTTGCATATATTTATTTAAATATCCTAATTTTAAGTTATTATTTCTTGTTTATTTGCAGATTCTTGAACAGGCAGAATAGGTATAAGTTCAGTGCAATATGCCAGCCATTTATAAATGGGTATTTCACCAAATAGTCAAAGTTTCTGTAAACTGTCAGAATAATTGTACTATGTGAATATTGATGACTTCAAGTGATACAAAAATACTATGTCTAGCTGTTCAAATGGAATATTCCAATAAAAAGAAAAACAAGATTAAAAACCAAAATGTTTATGCTGGACATAGAGGAGTAGCTGATAGACTTTGCACCATGGGTAGCAGACTTGTTCCTAATATGGTTTGTGCCTTTGTGTACTAGAATGGAGGCAGTGGATCTTGAGCCTCTGGCTGTGCAGAGCAGAGTGGAAGCAGGACTCTTTTGCAAGAGGAGATGTCACTTCCAACAGCTAGGTTAACCCTCCTCTGACTCCGCATTCACTGCAGATCATATGGTAATAGAAGATCCAAAGCTCTTAATTTGGCAGTGGCTGAAGGGCCAGAGAAGGGCTAACCTGGCTCTTGGAGGTGACATTTAACAGCTCCCTTCACAGTAGCAGTGTCTTCCAGGGGAGGACAGGGGGCTGGTGAGGGGATTCCTCGCCTTGGTTGACTCTGCGCAACCAGACTCAAGCCCCCCTGACTTCACTATGGTGTTCCCTTTTACTGAACACCTTGGGCTCATGCCCTGGTTGCCTCGCCTTAGTTACACTACTGCCAAAGTCTGTCACTTAAATAAGGGGTGCTAACCTGTAGCCTGCATGCCACTAGTGCCATGCAGTAAAGGGAGGTGCTGTGGAGTGGAGCGGAGAAGGGGCAGGGTGCTGCTGGGAGAAGTGGTGTCATTGTCAAGAGCCAGGTTAATCCTTCCCTGGCCTTGAGTCTCCACTAAATTCATGGTTTTGGATCCTTGTTCACCGTATACAACTATAGCAGCTGCGTGGCCAGGGAAGTGTTAACTTGGCTCTTGGTAGTGGCTTGAGGCCCCCTTGCCTCCATTCTGTTGCCTCTGTCAGGTACATCTTTGGAGCGGGGGAGGGATAGGAGTGGCACTCGGGGATGTGGGGGCCGGGGAAGCGTCTTAATTTGATAACAGAATGCCATAGAGGATGGCTATAATGCTATAACGGAAGGCAGGCAGTGTTTTGAAACTGAAATTCAATTCAGACAGCTGTGAGAATGATGTATACTAATAATAATATAATGTGAAATGTATTAATAAAACTTATGTTTTTTAATTCTAGGGAACATCAGTTCAAACTCTGTTATAGGACATATTCCTGAAGTGCAGAAAATAAAAACAGAAGCTGAGGACCAGGCAGATTCTAGTGTTGCTTCCTTTACTCCAGAGGATTCTGCTACGCTCTCTGTACCCACAGCTATCAGTTGTATAAAAGGCAATGACTCTTTAAAATCTCAGAATCAGTCTGTGCAGCCTATACCATGCCAAAAGTCAGAAGAATATGCTTCCTCTGAAGCAGACAGCCTGGAGAAAGAGGAAACTAGTAGTATATCCACAGAGGACTACATCAGTGACCTAGACAGCAGTGAAAGCAGTGAAAGTAGCTTGGAACCTGGAGAAATACTTGGTGTAAAAAGGAACAATGATGGAAATAGTTCAGAAACACCCAGCGTACGTGAAACACATTGCATCTCTGTTTTAATGTATTCTCAATCGCATGAAATGGGCATGAGCTTCTTTCTAATATGACCGGATATACTAAAGTGCTTAAGCATATGCTTAACTGAAGTCTGTGTAAAGTCCTATTGATTTCAGTGGGACTAGAGCACCTGCTTAAAATGAAGTACATACATATATGTTCTCCTGAATAGGAATGCTTCTCTGAAATAGCACCCCAAAGCTCCTTTTTCTCTCTCTTGTTTTGAATGTGGGTAATCTGATATAGGTGCCATCGAACTGTTTGTTGGTAGCTATGCTATATACTCCCATTTGCACCAGCTGCCTGAGTGGAGAATACTCAGCCTGTAATAATACTTGGAAACTTGGTTAGCAGTGTTGCAACAAAATCAAAATGAAGAAAACTCATTCCATAAGTGCATATGCAACTACATAATTTATTATAAGAGATTGGAGATTGAGAAAAGAAAGTTTAATGTACTAAAATAACTATGGAAAAGTTTAGTTATATATCATGATCTTATACCCCACAAATATGTGAGGAATGTTGCCACACAATTGAAATAGGACATTATCAGGTATGCCACAATCAAGCTCTTCTTTCTGCTACTCTTGGGTGCCTATACACGAATAGGAAGGTTGCGCCAACGCTCTGGAATTCCAGCATGTAGGAGCAAACTCAATTAATCGAGTCTGGAGTGTGACAATTACCACTCCCTAGGAGCCTCTTGCATCTCGTGTATCAGCATCCTCATGCTTCAGAATTGTGGCGGGAGTGTGTTATCTAAAGCTCATTAGATGAGCTTTAGATAAGTGCCTCTGCCGCCATTTTGAAGTGTTGGGATGCTGATACGCGAGACACACCAGGCACTTTAATTAGAGTGGCTCTGAGAGCTGCTCTAATTAAAGCCCGCTCCCCCCCTTGGAGCATGTGTATAAATGCCCCTTGATGTGTTTGATATCCCAAAATGGGATAATCCTGTGGTTAGAAAAGCTATGTCAGTTGTATGCTGTATTACGTAAGATATTCAGGGAGATGCCACAAACTGCAGCATCCTCCTACCATGTGTTAATTGCTGGCAGATGACTAAAGTTACTTCATATCACGCCTGAAAAATGTATATACAGCAGTTGCAACCTTGTCCATCTTCTTACAGAAGCTTTGTTGTCATACTCCAGAGGGTGTCACCAACCTAATGGAAATAGCTATAATATTGTCTGGAAACATTTGTGGCTTTCCAGGCTTTGGCAATATATTTTTCGACTTGTGTAATGATAGAAGGCTTTGAAGCCTTCTTACATTTAGCATCTGCATATTCATAAATTAAAATAGAAGTTGATTTCTTGGGCGGTTTAGGGCCTAAGATGTGAATCTTAATGGCCCTGTATGCCTGTAATGTGTGCCATTCTTTCTCCTTTTGGTGCAATTGATTGAAGTGAAGGAAGGTAGAAATACTGTCTGGAGGAAGGATTTTGGCTTTTTTTCCCTTCAAAGCTGCTTTCTCATAGAAGAGAGAGACTGTTTTACTGTTTTCAGATGTTTTCAATACTGCTTAATTCCCATTCCCTCAAAAGTTCCCCCTTGAGAATTTTGAAGTAGCCATCATATTGTCTTGTAAATCCACTCTCTTCATCTTTAATTAATATGCACTTGTGGTATTTAAAGTCCTCAGTCTATTAGAAAACCTCAGAGCAACACAGGATGCAACAAAGAACGAAGCAGTAGAACAAGCAACTTTGCTAGTTTGAAAGATTCTTTTTTTTTTTACGTTGGCTGGCATGGAATACATTTTATGTATTTGTTAATAAAAAGATGGTGTTTGAGAAGCATATAGTTAGGGAAGTAATTCTAAACATTGCAAAGGAAGCATCAACTTTTTCCTGAGAGAATACTGAATCTTCCTATCAACTACTCCGAAGTCTTCCACTGATGAAATTAGTGACTCCTTAAAGACTTCAGCAATAACTAGGCCCACTTTTGAAAATGTAATATATTTAGATTACTCTTCTATAAGGAGTAAAATCTTTGCATGTTCCTGTTAAAGCACCTGCAGTCATTAGGAAACTCCCATTCTGAATTACCTTATCTCTGCATGACCTTATCTGAATCTTCTTTCCCAGTAGGATGTACCATCTTTCTTTTGTCTTGAGAGAGAATCTAATTTTGTCATTTTGCTAGCCTTGCAAGCAGGATTTTGCTCAAGTTTGTCCAGTTGTTGAGCCAAGATCTTGTGTATTCAGAATTTTCCATAACATTTAGTAGGGAGAAGGGTTTGTCATGAGCTTCCTTCTCAAATTCTGCTCCAGCAAGCTTATTTTCCTTCAGCCAAGAGGTGAATGAAGAATGGGAACATTTCATTTCATCTTCATTAGATTTACTTTAGTTAAATTATGTCTTTTTACTCTTGTTGCACAGAAAAAAAGAGGAGGAGATATATTGCTTTTCGTAGTGTATACTTCTGAGTTTTGGGGCTGATTTGAGAGCTCGCTCTACTGTTTAAGGGATATAAACTAATAGGAAGTGAACAAAGTATTTTGTTTTCCTTGAATCTTTGACAAAAGTTCTGAGGAAAACTATATACTTCTCAAGTCTGTACATGGAAAAATACCTAAATTGATTCCATGCCAGCCAAAGTTAACACATACACTTCATCCACATTGTGCTAAATACTGCTTAGCTCTCAGATGAATAACTTTTTGATCCTTTAAAGTATGTTCTAAGACTTGATAAAGATTGCCTGTTTGCTTTTGTTGTTACTTTGAATATAGAGGGAAGGGGTTTGGGTTAGAGAAGGGTTGATAAATGGTCATCTGGAGATATGTGACCAGGAGATTGTATTTGGACTTAGGACTACAAGAACTGTCCCAAGCCCCAGACAGTGGGAGATATGTTGTTTTAGGGAGAAGGGGGATCCTTGATTTAAGGATCCCTGAGCAAGATGATGATCAAAAGCCATCAGCTGACATTTAGTAAGAGGCTAGGGCATCCACTTAAAATTACAGCAGAATAGACTGGATCCTATGAAGGAGTAGCTATCCAAGGGTATAGGCAGAGGTGTAGGTGACAGATGTTGAACTGGTCCACATACTCTGCTGGTTCCCTCCAATGAAAGATCTGATGTGGTCCCATGATTTCTCTAAAAATGAGAATGAAGAATAGCTATGGGGCATCATGGTTAAATCAGATGAAGATAAGGCTCTTTTTTTTTGGTCTTAATTACATGAGCTGATGAGGTTTTCTTTTGCTCTCTGTCAGATTGCAGCCATTTTACTGGAAAATATGCTTGGCTTCTCCTTCACTATCTCCAGGGTTAGCATGAATCCCCTCTTATAAAATTAATATTATTTTTAATTTTATAAACAGTGAATTTAGTAAAATCTCTTCTTTATGTACAAGATACATCATTTCTGTTTTCTTGTGCTATGATAAGGAGGAGCGTCTTGGAGAGGCAGGGGTATAGATTGTAGCCGTGTTGGTCTAAGGACATAGGCAGACAGGGTTCTTTGGGCCAGTCTGATATCTTTTATTAGACCAACTTAAATAGTTGGGGAAAAAATTTTAAGCAAGCTTTTGGGTTTAAAAACCTTCGTCAGCCTGAGGAAGTTTCTGCATTTGGTGTGTGCTCTTCCTGGATGGAATGAAAAGTAAAGAAGCCAGAGACTGGGCTGGTATGTATATAAGATGGGCAGTCAGTGAAGATGTAAATTGAGGAGTCAGGAGTCAGTGACTCCTCAATTTACATCTTCACTGACTGCCCATCTTATATACATACCAGCCCAGTCTCTGGCTTCTTTACTTTTCATTCCATCCAGGAAGAGCACACACCAACTGCAGAAACTTCCTCAGGCTGACGAAGGGTTTTTAAACCCGAAAGTTTGCTTAACATTTTTTTTTCCAACTATTTAATTTGGTCTAATAAAATATATCAGATTCACCCAAAGAACCTTCTCTGCCTTGGAGAAGCAGAGCACTTGTTAGGGCTCGGTGAAAAGAGGAGGCACGTGTGGCTATTTGGGCGATCGGAGAAAGTGCACCTGCCTCATACCCTGGCAGATAAGAGGGGACAACCCACTGTTGGATTGCCAAATTACAGGGAATATATTTAAAAGGTAGAAACAAAAAGCCACTTCTCTTCTTACAAACATTATTTTTTACAGATATGTGAGATTTAATGGTCCTGACACCAGTTCTCCCTTTGTAATAATGCAGAACTCTGTAAATGTCTCTTCAGGGTTATAATTGCATATTACAAGCTATATTTAATTTATCAGTTTGGGTAACTGAGCCATTCCTAGGTGGGTTTTCAAGTATTTTCCAGTACAGTTGCATGCTCTTTGAATCTGGCTGTTGCACAGAAGGATATTACTCAGTTACCATTTAAAAAATCCAGTTTTCTTTACTTTTTTATTTAGTTATGTCCATTTTTTGTTGTGGACTGTGTGCTTAATGTAGCAAAAAGTATGTAGCCTTTTTGATGTAGTACTTGATATTTTACAATATGAGTTCATAATTCAAGAGACTTGGCTTCTTCTTTTTGTGTCCTTCAAATACCTCTATATTTTCCAAAATTGGGGGCATGCAATGGTCACATCTGTAGCCCTAGCTAGATCCTTGATGTTACAGAGCTCTTCCAAATGATATACAGACCTTTAGACGTTCTGGACTTGGTTTACCTACATTCATATACGTCTGTGTCACTAGGATAGCCTGTTTTTTCATGTTATCTTTTCTCCTTATGTTTGGAGATGTTTCAGTTGTCGCCAGGTTGGTCAGTTTAAGATGAGATGTTTGTACAGTTTGTAAAGATGACATACTAGGGATGTTCCCTGAACTTCCTTCCCTGGTTTTAGGAGTATTACAACATAAGATTGCAATTGTATTTTAGAGACTTTGTATGTGGGTGAACATGCATAGAACCCAGTACCCATAACCAGGCTTATCTATTGGTCCCAAGTGTTTCTCAAAAGTCACCAGGATACACCTGGTCGGTTGTACTCTGTGAGTTAAGAAGGATGCTGTAGTTTCTGGGACCCTGGTGAAAGCAGGAAAGGCATAGTAGTACACCGATGACCTCATTGTGCTCTTGTATAATACAAATGGGCTGAGATGGACCTTCCCCAAATAGCTGAAAATCTAAAAGAAAACATGAGTGTGAAGAAAGGAAAGAAAGAAGGAAGGTGGTTAAGAGTAACAAAGAAGAGATCACACAGTAGCATAAGCTATTAGTTATGGTTCAGCTTAATGGTTCCTGATGGCTCTATAGATTTTTACAGTAATTTTTGCAAATAAAATCAATTATCTCTCTGTGTTTCTCAGCTAAGCCAATGTGAACTGATTCCAGAGTGGTGCATTTAATGCAATTGAGTCTTTGGGAGGGATTTGGAAGAGGAGACCTTTGGATGCTTTATAGGTTCTTTGTGTAGGTTGGCTGTTCTCAATTTTTGGTGCTAATGATGTGATTCCATACACCAGTATGTGTGTAACTGATTTTTGAAGTCAGACCAGTCCCAGTTTTTCCTCCTCCTTCCCTGAAAGAGCTGTTGGCAGCTTTAATATGCAAGGTTTTGTTTTGCTTTTGAGGACAGGTTTAGTTTGGCAGTCATGTTATACTTCTTTATTTATGTTTCCTTCTTAACTAAACTGGTAAACTCCAGAAGTTCTTTCTGGTACTGTTCCTTGATAAACAAGGCTTTTGTGATCTTATTCCCACTCCCCTCTTTGTTTTAAAAAAAATTTGTGCCAATATGATATTAATTATAGACAATGGCATGAAACTGCCATGATGAGAACAAACATGGTTGTCCCAAATAAAACTGTGCGCATTTCAATCTAATACCACACTAGTGAACGAAAGGGCATTTATACACATACCTTTTAGTTCTCGGGTGTGCTGGAGATCTGCTGCTTTGGAGTAAATTCGAATAATCAAGTCTGCTCTGCGTGGGAGCGGAGGTGTGCTGCACTGAGCCACTTGCAATTGTATAAGCTACTAAATGTACGTCAGCGTGGAGAAAATGGCAGCCGCGTACTTTTGAACTGAAGCACTTCCAAGGTGTTTTAGTTCAAAAGTGCACCGCCGCCATTTTCTTTGCGGTGACATGCATTTTACCACTTGCACAACTGCAAGCATCACAGCAACGGGCACTTTTCATAGTGCCCAGTGCTGCAACACATGTAAAAATGCCCATAGTGTTTTGAAATGTGTGTTAGTTTCATTCTGCTATAAGGTAATGTGCTATAGCATATTAATTTCTAGTCAGAGTTGATCTTTATTCAGTAATTTTTATAAGTCTATATTCTTGCTTTATTTCTTTTAAAAATAAATTTAATTTTTTGCAAATTTAAACAATGCAAATTTAACTTCTAATACTCTAAACTGAATGAGTAAAAAGTTACTAAAAATACACTGCATGGTTTTTAATGTGCTGTTATTCTAGTACCAAGACTTATTTTCCAAATAATTTTATGGAGAAAAGTAAGTCATTTTCCCATCCTCTAGATTTATTAAAAATGAATTTCAAAGACAAATGTTTGAACTGGAGATGAGAAGTACTTTGCATGCCCCTTAACAGAAGAATTTTTTTTTGTTTACAGGCATTACTTTTTGCTCATTTTCTAACTAAATTGTGTGTGGTTTCTCCCTTTTAGACAGCAGACATGGAAAGAAAGAAAACATCAAAAAGTTGGCGTCATCCTCTAAGCAAACCTCCAGCTCGATCTCCAATGACACTGGTTAAACAGCAGGCAACAAGTGATGAAGGTGTGCATATTTTTAAATGTTTTTCTCCAATTATATCTCTGTCCCTATATCTCTGTGCCTCTCCACATGTACATTGTAGACATTACAAAAGTACTGAAAATGAAAGAGCATTTTGATTGCGTAGGAAATTTAAAGCTGCAGAAAAACTGCTTACAAAGATTTAAGCATCGTTGCTGAATCCATGAATCTATTTCTCCTCTTTCACTTAAGTCTTCTAAACACATTGGGGCTGTCTTGTAAGATGCACAGAAGAGTATGAAGTAATTTAAAAGGCTGTGTGTAAGAGATAAAAAAATCATTCTAGAATCTCATCTCCTTTGTTCGATTTTACAGCACTGGGCTTCACTAGTGAACTTTACATCTTATCGTAGGAAGGCAAACACAGCTAAGAAATGCCATCTCAAGATTCTCCGAACAATGATCCCACTTGTAAGCCTTAGCTTATAAGATTTATTAGTAGATGCAGTAGTAGTAGTATTGCCTTGTGATTCCTTTGTTTTATAGTTCTCGAGTTAAAGGATTGCAAAGTGATTTTTCTTAAGACATCTGCAGTCCTGGTTTGTTGTCTAGATACCTGTGGTCTCTTTTGCATCAAAACGTTACCGGCATTCTTTGTTTGTCTTAGATTCTGGCTTTGCACATACTTATAAAACAAAACAATTAAATAGACTGTTCTTCATTTGGCAAAGCCCATTTACTTTATTTACTGAAAATGGAGAACAATATTAAGTTATTATTGAGCATATCCCATATATAGCCATCATTTATCCTATGCCTATGCTTGCCTATGCTTAAACCAGTAAGCTTCTGTAACATGCAATACACAAGATTTTAAAACTGGAGGCCAGGTTCTCAGCATATATGAGGAGCAAGGATCTAATGGGTCTAATGTAGTCTCCTTAGTAAAAGCAAAAATAGCTTTGATGTATCAGTAATTTAAAATAGCTTAAAGACTTTACTTTCCTCTCCATTCTCATTTCTAATACAATCCTTCTCTGTTGAGGGAGTCTTAGCAGCCCCATTCAGGTAGTGTTTTACTTGCTTTGGAGTAATGAAGTATGAGGGCTTTGGTTGCTTAAAGTTTGGCTCCTGGATACATATATAAGTGCTGAGAGAAAATTCATAAAAAGGCTTAGATCAGGGGTTGGTAACATACAGCTCACAAGCTGGGAGCCATTGCATCTGGCCTATGCACCTGGAAAGCTTTTCTTCTGCCCACACCCATGCTGGGGTGGTGCAGTTAAAGTTGTGGCTGTATTGACACTGCTTCTCCCTACCACCTATTCCCCATCTATAGCATGAGTGCAGTTTCTAGCCAGCAGGAAACTGAGCCAGGGCTGGGCAGTTTCTAACTTCACCTGCTCTGCAACCTCGAGGCAGGGGACATGGGAGAAAAGTGGCAGCAGTACAGATGGTGCTTCCAGCTGTGTGTCTCTGGCTCCGCTCCCCACTAGCTGGAAGCTGGATCCACACTGCAGCCAAGGAGCAAGGGGGTGGGGAGAAGTGTCAGTAGCAGGGGCACAGCTCCCAGCTGCCTGGGCCTGGTGCAGCTCCCCTTGGGCTGCAAACTCTGCTTGTGTTGTAGCCAGGGAGTGAGGGGCTGGAGGAATTAGCATTTCCCCCTGCCTGCTGCTTATGTGGTGCCAAAGCTACTCAGCCCACACCGGACTAGAGCTGGCTTGTTCCAACCTGCAACTTGAAAAGATTGCCAGCCCCTGGCTTAGCTGTGTCAGTGATGAACCACCCTACACTTTAAAGTTAGGCGCCTGGCTCCAGAAGTTAAATTCACAAACCAGAGTTAGGTGTCTGATTGAATTGCAAGAATCAGCATGTGGAGCAGGGGGATGCCTAGGCCAGGCAACCAAAACTAAAGATGTGAGGTGCCTACAGTTTTACCTCTTTCTCAAACTTACATGTCTCTTTGTGGCCCTGAATTAGATGCCGAAGTGGAACAGCCTGAAATCCTTGCCAGACTTAGCTGTCTGAAGCTTCCTTACATATGTAGGCAACTGACTCACTCTTTAAAAAATACTGTAAAATTTTACTCTGGCCCTCTAAGTCTTGCTTTCCTTTCCATACAGCCACCCAGCTTCAACCAGAAGCATAGACAGTTTTGCTTGAGAGAAACAGACCTCAGTTTTTATCCCAGGATGTTTTCAATTTTTAAAAAAACCTGTTTTTTAAAAAACTTTGGATTAATATTAAAGCCATAAGTTATAGAGGAAATTATTTTTATGCAACATATTTAATTGCTAGTACTAAAAGTGACCAACTTTTCTTCTCAGTTGCCATAGATTCATCCTTATAAATTTTTGTAACTGTCTTAATACTATTTTCCTTTGGATGACTTACTTTAATAGTAGATGTAAAGTATCAATCCTGGCTCTCTGGGTACAGTTTTAGTGTTGACAAGCAAAAATGCTTATAAGGTATATAACAGCTGTTAAAAGCATTTTTGTTTCAGACATGCAGAAGCAGCTTGATATTAATAGTTATAAATTCATATCACATTCTTTTTTGAACACTTCCAAGTACCAGAACATTCCTATTGGAGGAAGACATTCTGAAAAGTTTTATAGCAAGGCCACAGGGGTCCTTGGCTGTAATTTACTAATATAGAATTTAGAATATGTTATCTTTTCCCATATAACGGTTCTCATTTTAAATAAAAGCATATGTTTATGATAAAAAACATTTTAAAAGCTGTTAAAAGAGGTTGAAGGCACAGTAGATCTGTACCTTATAAACTAACCAAAGTTGATATTATATATATAATATCTCATGGGCTGAAGCTTACTTTATCAGATGTTGTGAAAGGACATGTGCAAAGCTATGTATAACAAGGAGAGAGAAATTAGAATGCAAAAGCAGAAGGGAGGGACAGAAAGGGAGGAGGGGAGATGGCAGGAGGAGAGATGGGGCAGGCTGGGAGAGGCAAATATTCAGGCAATAAACCCATGAAACAAAGGAGCTACAAAAACAAATCCAGGTAATGAGACAAGAATCCACAGTCCCTGTTTAAACCACATATAACACAATCCAGTCTGTAGATAATTTCTTGTTCTGCCATTTCCCATTCAAATCAATTTTTAAGGGTTTGCTTCTTGAGTACAGCCAACCTTGGGTCAGTGATGGAATGTCCAGGGAGGTTAAAATGTTCTGCCATAGTCCTGTCTGTCTTTCTGCAGCACGTCAGATCAGCGTTCATTCAATCTTTCATGTAGGGCAGTGGTCACCAACCAGTGGGTCTTGATTCACTGGTAGATCTCAGAGCCTCTTGGAGTCTATCTGAGGCTGGGGTTGGGGGCTGAGTGCCTGTGTGTATGCATGCATGAGCCCCAGCCCAGCAGGTCAGTCCGGGCGGGAAGGAAGAAGCAGTGGCTAGATCGAGCCCCTCATAGTGAGGTAGAGGCAGGTGCAGGGGTAAGTTATGGGGCCCCGGCCGGGTGGGATTTATCTGCTGAGGAGTCGTGTCCCCAAATAATTTTTTCTCCCTTTGCCTCGATCAGCTCCTCTCCCCCCCTTCCCTCCCCACAGACTTACCTGCTGAGTGGAGGTGGTGGGTGGCAGCATCGCATGATAGATCTTGGGCTGCTTTTAAATGCAGAGGTGATTGCCTACTTAAAAAGGTTGGAGACTACTTATGTAGGCACTGCCCTGTCTGTCCAGTGTAGACCAGAGGAGCACTATGAGCAGGTCATGGCACATATAACATTAGTATCGTTGCAAGTGAAAGAACCTTGGATATTATAATCCATGTTATTTGGACCAGTGATGATATGGTTTGTATTTAAGTTGGGGCACAGAAGGCATCTGGGTCTGTTGCAAGGCCTGGTGCCTCACTGAGACTGGGAATTAAGAAACCTATTGCTTGAGAGATACTGTTGGAATGTGGGGAGGGGTCTGCCTGTAAGCCAGGACAGGTTTGTTTCTGGTGACTTTCAGTCCTCATTTTCCAGGAGGGGTTGGAGGTCATTAATGATATGTCTCGGGTGTCTAAGCCAGTGGCTGTGACAACCAGAGAGACTCTATTGTCCTTGCCATGGGGTTGGTGTTGTGTTAAGTCGAAGCAATGTCTGAGTCTGGCTTTGCTGATTTGAATGTTTACAGTTTGGGAATGGTATTGTAATTATAGTACTCCCTACTCCAGATCCTTAAAGTATGCATCCCTATTGGTGGGATCCGAATAGATATGGTTGTAGTGTGGAGCCTGGCTGTAGACAGTGGATCTAGTGGTGTGATTTAGGATAAATGCTAATGGTGTGAAGGTAGCTGTGGTGGTTGGTTTTTTTCCAATGCAGTGTGGTGGCGATAAGGCCACTGTAGACCTTCACTGTAGTGTGTAATGAATTTGCTGGGTGGAGTATTCCAGAGATAATTTGATGGAGGAGTAGAAGTTGTTAAAATCCAAGTGAAATTTCTTTAAAGATTCTTTCCTGTGTCTCCATATATTGAAGTATGCATCTTGGGTAGCTTAGGGACATGAGAGGGCAGCTGCAGAGAAAACAGACTTCAAGGTCTGTCATAAATATGTTGGCATATTGGGAGGCCATATATGTGCCCGTAGCTGTGCTTTTCATTTGTAGGTATAGGAAGTCCTCAAACCAGAATTAGCTGTGTGTGAGGGCAAAGCAGGAACACAATGGAAATGGGAACAGTTTTATGGCTTGTGATTTATCTTCATGGGTGATGGTGCACAGAGATGTAACATCCATGGTAGCTAGTATGGTGTTAGCTGGAAGCTTGTCACTGGAGGCCAATTTATTTAAGAAATCTATGGTATCTTTCAAATAGCTGGCAACTCCAGACAAACTAAATGAAAGAACAGCAAAAAGCTGGTGTTTCCTCTTTCATACACTTGCATATACATACTCATATACTCCCACATACATACCCATTTACTCACATACATACAAAAGGAGACAGACAGACAGCCCTGCAAATATCAAAATATTACAGGGGTCCCCAACATGCTTGGCAGTGGACCTGGAAGTGGACCA